ACTATTTCCCTTAGCTCTTAATTTTCTTTTGAACCCATCCTCTCATTTTTCCTCCCTCAAATCATTAATCTTGGTTACAGTTGCCTATGATGCCATATCCTCTCAGGGATTGACGTCCTCTGAATGGGAAGGAGGTGCAATGATGATTGATTTTAATTGGCGCGCCTGCCATCGCTATTCAACTGTTGTTGTTCAACCTTTGCAGTGTGCAGGTGAGGGTGCAACTATGATGAGGAACTCAAAATCAATAATGCAATCTAAAACTCACACAATTTCAATTAACATAAAAAACTTAACTCCTAAGTAAACTCTTTCTACTTAGTCCGCTATCAATATGTGATAAAAACTAAGGTAATTGAAAAAATTAAAGAATTGAAAAAATGTCATAAGATTACCTTAATAAATTGACTCAATTTCTCGCTTAACGAGAAGGATGAAGAACACCTCAATTGTTGAAAGTTAAAAGAACTTTGCATTTTATTACTTTGAACTTGAATGCTTATAATTATGAATTGAAAGCCTATTTATAGTTGTAGATCATGTAAAACATAAAAAAGGAAATCTCCTAAATTAATTGTAATACTTACATAGGAAATTAAATCTAAACTTAAATGAAAAAACAATAAAAACTAAGAAAATTACAGCCAAAATAAGATAGATATGATCTCCCTATGTGGAAACCTTTTAAATAGGAAAGATATTAATTAATTATTAAGATGACTAAGGGAAGAATTAAGAAAGATTATGGCTGGTTTAGGAATGGATTGATTGCCCCATATCCTCCTAAAAATTCATGAGATTTAAACTCATATCATAGGATTTGTTTTCCTCTTTCTCTTGAAATTCTCATGCGGTTTAGGAAGGAAATCCCCTCCTTGGACGATTCCTTCCTTGAATGGACAGATTGATTGTAGTTTTAGGAAGATGTGGGAAAAGAAAATTCTCATTTGGGAGGGATTCCTTCTCGGGTTGGGAAGACTCCTCCCACATGGGAAGATTTCCTTCCCTTTTTCTCATGGTTTCCTCTTCCAGTTGAGTTAAAATACCTGTACCACTATACTTTTGGCCTAATGGGCTTGCTTCCTTCCTCCTATGGGTTTTCTTGCTTGATCCAATCCCTTCTTCTTCGTTTATCCACCCTTGAATAAAGAGTTGAAAAGCTTGTTGGAGTATTTTACCTCTTCCTCTTGTAATGGGCCCACTTGGCATCATAATATTCTTTCCAAGTGATCCAAGTATATCCAAATTACTTGGATCTTTGCTTGCTCTTCCTCGGCCACATGTCTCCTCTCTTGAGTGGGTCTTGCCGCATGCTTTCTTCTCTTGGCTGCCCAAAAAGTCTTCTTGACCACTAATATCTTTCCTTCATTGATTTGAATTTTTTTGAATTGTGTTTAGGTTTATGCCATCCATGCTCACATCAAACTATTTAAGGGTGTTGTCAATTGGGCATGTGGGCTTTGGGCTACCAGATCTTCCTTACCTTTCTATCAGGCCTCTTTTTCTTCGGTTGCCTCATTAGCACCTATGGACCGTTTAAGTTACATTTTGGTGGTCCATTATTTTGTAGGAATTGTTCATTTTATCCAACCTCCCTCACACACCTCTTAAATTTTTTCCACTTCTCTCCTAAATTTTCGAATCAATTCAGTTGATTTTTCTATTCCCTCTCAGGTCATATATTATCACTAACAAGAAATATAAATCATTACTCATTATCTATGAAATCTCCTTCCCCACTCTCCTAATATTTGACAATTTTATAACTGAAATTTGATTATGTGGCAATATTTTCACATTTT